GAGACTGGGAATGGCTGAGCCATTACAAACATTGAATCTATCTCCTCATGTAAGTATTCTCACACTTCTTATCAAACTGTCTGTACTGGGCTATCTTGATTATCACACTCTGAAGAAAACTTAAGAAAATCTAGTGTTTAGGCTGATAGGTTAACAAAGCACCGTTTGCATTAAAACCTTATTAGTACTTTTCTTGCGGACTTTCTAGTCTCCATAGTGGAGCGTATGCTCGAAAGGAAGTATCCCTGAACACACTAAATCTGCCACCAACTCAAATGTTTATTCAGCTTTGCTGAATAGTGCCCTTTGGTCTGGCCACACTGTTTGATAAAAGTACCAGCCACTCTATTTAGATCCATACCAGCTGAGATGATCTCTCAGTTCAGGCTACAGTCAAGTAGGGGATCCTGAGTTCTGTTCATAAACCACAAAACAGACAAAAATTCTTTTTCCTACAGCATGGTTTCTTAGAGTGATTTCAAAACATAGGCATCAGTCCTCCAGAGAATTCTGTGTGAGCAGACCCCTGCATTCAGGCAGAGCTCCATTAACACTGAGCTCTGAGCAGCATTGATGCCTTAAACGGTCAGCTTCAAGTTTGTCCACAAAGGATGAGTGATGTTTCCCATTGTCTATATTCATACATGTAGATGGTGATCTCTCTGAGGCAGAGGCTGTCTCTTTGTTATATGTTTGCACAGGGCCTAGCACAAAGGGATCCAGGTCTGTAAGTGCTGTCGTAATACTGGTACAACTCTAATATTAAGAATAATGGTTTCTTGCTAGTGCAACATCTTGGACAGAATTGCACGCGTGAGACATTATGAACTGTAAAAACAACGAGGAGTCCCTGTGGCACCTAAATTTGTTAGTCTCTAAGGTGCCACAAGGACGACTCCATTGTTTTTGCTGATACAGACTAACATGGCTACCACTCTGAAATCTCTCATTATGAACTGTAGAATTGGAGGATGAAGCCAGCAGAAGCAAGTAGTCCCCAAGCAGAATCATTAGCCACGAAATGCATGGTTTGTCAGTGAATAAGTGCTTCCAATCTCTGATACTCAATATTCAGAGTCATTATTTATTTATCTGAATTCTGTTAACACCTCCTATGTACTATGTAACTTCCATGAAGACACAGGAACAAAGTGTTTTCTTACTTTGCGCTGCCACATATAACAAAGCGAGGAAGCCAATCCATTTCTGAAAGGTGGTAGAAAGCAAAGCAGTACCCATAAACTAAACAAAATGACAACGGTAGGCAATAAAATCTGGCATGGGGGCCAGAAATATGCACTTATCAAATGAGATTATTTTATTACTTCACCTGGCTAAAATGAATCTGTTGGGTTTATCAGTGATTTGTTTCTACGGAGACCGCAATGTTCAATAGTTAGGCTAACAACAACAATGTAGAATAGTTAGGCTAACAACAAAATTTGGGCAAGATCTTGGGGAGCAACTGAACTGCAAAAAGGTAAAAGAACATTGCAAATTTCAAATACAGCCATACTTTCACAATGACTTTCATGTTGTCCAGTACATTTTAATTCATGACACAAATGAATCATTATAAATATTGTCTATATGCATTATACTCTGTTACAATATCCTGTTGTCCGTGCAGTCATTGCTGCTGGGAAAAGGTTTGGACTCCATTTGAAAAAATGGTTATATTTTTCCTTTTGTAATTTTTGCGTCATGTACCCCATGAGGATGGTGGGTATCTTTGTGTGTATGTACAGGTATATTATAAAAACGTGGCAGTGATATCCATGTGAAAGCGTGCAGGGCCATATGATAAATTACATTTATCATGCACTCTCCCCTCAACACTCTGCCCACTAATCCATCTCCCCTAGCATTTATTCTACGATTTCACCCCCTGAGCAGCTTCCTGCAGTTTCATTGTCTTGAATACAAATACAACCGCAAAATCAATTCGCCATCAAAATGTTTCTATTTTTCCCCTAAACGTGAGCATTTCTGCTCCAAAACAAAACCAGTTCAAAGCCCAGCACAGGAAATGCTCAGTCCTGGTTACAGCAATAAATGTAATATCTCAATATCTTGTGACCCTTCAGGGCTAGAAATGGGAGTCTAATCCTTTTGGGGAGGGGAGATTCCCAGCATTCCATTTGCTCCAGTTTTGAAAACTCCCAGTGACTTTAAGGGAGTAAAATGGTACGTGTGGAACAGTTATTTTAGGTCATTTGGTGAGGTATCTTATATATTTGGTTTAACTTTTCTCTCCTGCTGAGCCTTGGATTTCTAAGGTGAAATCCTGGCCCCACAAAGTCAGCAGGACTTTTGCCATTGATTTCAGTGGAGCCAGGATTTTACCCGTGGTAACAAAGGCACCTGGCTGCACAGGCAGAGGGGTGCAAGAAATAGTCCCAATAAATTTATTTTAAAACTCTCCAAGCCATGCCCAAAATAGTTTCTGTGCAATTATTATAATTATTTAATATTTATATTATAGCAGCACCCAGAGGCCAGGATCAGTTGTGCTAGGCACTATAAAATCTGTCATACCCAGAACAGAAAATGGTGTGAGGTGGTAGAAACATTTGACACTTGAATAATTGCAAAACTTTAAGGGATGAACTGGCACAAACGGGTATGGGCTCTGATCATACATAATCATAAATACCACGTGTACAAGAGGGTTCTGACAACAAGAGACTTATAATTAAAGTATTGCAGTGTTCTAGTTCGTCTCCCATTAGTATTTTTACCTGAGTTATCTTTTATTAAACACTGTGCCATTTAACAGCCACTCTGGAGGGTGAGAAACTGAGCCTGAGTAAAGTATCAGAATTCGTGTGAAACAGATGTTAGCCTTACATTTAAAAAGGTTTAGTGCTTCTGCTGGTGTTAAGAGAAGGAAGCAGGTGACCCTATTTCCACTCATTATTTATCCATTTTGTGATTCCAAATAAAATCTAAATCTTCAGATTAAAGCTCTCCTCATAACTGTAACGTGCTGTCATCTATTCTCTGGGCAGACACTCATTACAGGGCACTTGAGAAAAGCTTCATCTATAACAACTGCAGCAAATGATAGCTTAAAGCAGTGGTTCTCAACCAGGGGTCCAGGGCTCCCTGGGGGGGCCATGAGCAGGTTTCAGGGGGTCTGCCAAAATAAACCAGAGAGCAGGGTCAGCATTAGACTCACTGGGGCCCAGGGTAGAAAGCCGAATGCCGAGTCCAAGCCCCTTCTCCCCAGGCTGAAGCAGAAGCCTGAGCAATTTAGCTTTGTGGGGCCCCCTGTGGAATAAAGCCCTGGGCAGTTGCTCTGCTTGCTACCCCCTAACGCTGGCTCTGGCTCTTAATCTACTGAAAAACAGCTGTTGTGTACATGGTGGGCTGTGTAATTTTTATAGCATGTTGCGGGGGGGGGGGTCTGAAGGAAAAAGGTTGAGACCCCTCTGGCTTAAAGAACAAGAGGGGCTCCATTGTCAGTTCTTTCAGTTTAACTAACTCTCGTTCATTAGATTGCCTCAACACATCCCCATAGTCACACAGACCTGGAACCTAGGGCTGAGATTGTTTCTCTATGGAGAGGCACATGGGTCATACATGCTTAGTTCCTTTTTCACACCTAGAAGTGTCTCTCCAAGTTTTCCCATTGTTTAAAAGTTGTGTAATCTTTTCCCCTCTTCCCAATCACTGGGATCTGGATCTACTCTTCACCCCCTCCTTTCAAACCCATAACTAAGTGTCCCCTATCCTTCATATCTCTCAGATTGGCCTCTCTAGTGCGGATCACTTTGGCCAGAAGAATCTGAGAACTATAAGCCCTTATGTCTAATTCTCCAGTCTTAATTTCTAAGGACAGTATTTCTGGGCTTTCTTCATTATACCCGTCATGCTGATTGAAGCTGAATGATGGGACTTTTAATAAAACTCTGGCAAGATCTCTTCAGCCATTTCGGGGGTTTCAGGGCAGGGGTGCTGGAACAGTTTGTATAGTGGGGGTGCTGAGAACCATTGATCCAAACTGTAAGCCCTGTATATAATGGAAACCACTTTAAATCAGGGGGTGTACCCCCACCACCCCTAGTTCCAGCACCTATGTTTCACGGTGAATCCTCCCTACACACACACACACTTTATCCACTTTAAAAAAGAAATTTTAATTGATCCTTTCTAGATGGGGCTATGGCAAAAATAGATGTTTGAAACTTGAAACTCACCATGGCTAAACCTCTGATTGAGAAGTAATGCCTCTTCTTGTGCTTAAAAAAATGGTTTTAATTTACCAGAGTTGGTTTGTAATTGTATCCTGAACATGTGCAATAGACAATTTTGTTAAATACATAGATACGTACAATAAATATATATATCTACATTAAAGAGTACCGCTAATTAAGTCTGCACTTTTCAAAACAGACTGACTTTAAAGATCCTCAGCTTGGCCTTGACCAGCATTGGCTTCAGTGGAACTATGCCAATTTACACCAGCTGCAGCTGGTAGCCGCTGGGCCGTTAATTCACATGTCTGCTTGTTTAGACTCCTAGGCCAGGTTGGAGGTGGTTTAGTTTGGTAAGGCAATCCTTTACTTTCTTTTTAACCAGAAACACTCCTTAGCCCACCTCTAGAGTGATTGTTGTTTAGTAGTCATCGAAAGCAAGGACTTGTGAATGTAAGTTTATGAAGGAGAATTGGAAGCCAGATAAGTTCAGACTAGAAATAAGGCACAGATTTTGAATGATGAGGGTAAATAACCATTGTTAGAACTTACGTTGGGTCGAGGTGGATTCTCAATCATTGACCATTTTAAAATCAAGATTGGATGTTTTTCTAAAAGGTATGTTACACTTGAAAAAGAAATTAATTAAGGAAAGTCCTGTGGCCGGTGTAATTCAGGAGGTTAGACTATATGATGTCTGTGGTCACTTCTGATCTTGTAATGTATGAATCAATCATTTACAAAGGAGGAGTTATTTTGGACACTTTTCTAATTCTTTAAAATGTTCCCTTCTGTCTTTAGGCACTGTACGGATGTTCTGTGCTGTGTAATCTTCATAGTCGTCATTCTGGGTTACATTGCATTAGGAATTCTGGGTAAGTAAACCCAGCCACGGTAGTGGCTTCTCTTGCAGGGGGAGTAAATAAGTGAGTCATTATTTTTAATTGAAGAGTCCATTTAATTTTAAACTTTCTAATCAATGAGCCATGTGTTTTCTAGGACATTAAATGCCTGTTATAGTCAGGGAGAGGTTGAAAATTATGTGTTTATTGATGGAAAAAACCAAAGTAAAATATATGCAGGTAAAAATGCCATGGTTCAATCATTTTGCTATCATAAACTATAATTGAGACAGGAAAATCCTGGCACTTGTCACTTGTCAAAAAACAAAAGCTAGAGAAAAACATTCATTTTTTAAGAGGCTTTGCATTCTTTAAAATATTAGCAAGAGACTCTATGGGAGCAATGAATGGAGCAGAAAAAACTTCATTTAATTGTGGTGGACAGAGCTGTTTGCTTATCAGGATATTCCGTGGTAACCGTTTAGTTTGCTTGTCTGAGAGAACTTCACTGAGACTGTCTAAATGAGTGAGGGCAAATGCCAGCTACCATAAAAGTACAGTTACTATGTGTTTGCATATTTGACTGAACTTAATTTCCTAATAAAAGACCATATGGCCCTGGCTTAGACATACGAAATGTCATCACTCTTTTTAATTCTGTGTTAGCAGTTTGGCTTTGTACGGTAGAGAAAATACTATGTGTAGTGTCAGAAGATGACAATAAGCAAGATTGATTTTACACAACCAGTAGAAATCAGTAAGTATACGGGAATGTACATCATCCTCTCATTAGAATATACTATTGGCACAGCATCCCAAAAGTCATAATTTGTTCTCTGTCTCTCTTCAGCTCCCTGTCTCTCTCACTTTACCTTGTAGTATTTAAACACTGAACAGGTAGTTAAGATTTTGCTGCTTCTCTCTCCAGGTGCTCCTGTGTGCGTGTGTTGTTCATTCCCTTGTTCACACATACTAGTTGTCCCTTCATGGAACATCCTGCTTTCAGAAAGGGGGAAAGGGAAGGAAATAAAGTGAATACACTCAGGGCCGGCTCCAGGCACCAGCCAAGCAAGCTCGGGGCGGCAGATTGTACGAGGCGGCATTCGGCCCAATCCTAGGGCGGCACGGCCGCTTTTTTGTTTTGTTTTGTTCCGCTCTGGCCTCCCTGTAGCGGGCAGCGGCACAGAGGAGGGGAGCACCCTGCAGCAAGCCCGGCAGGGCAGCCCGTGTCCTTCCCTCCCAGCTGACCGCGGCGCGGAGCCCTCCCGGCAGGCGGCGCGGCGGTTGGGGCTGTGTGGCAGCGCCCCCCTGAAGCCCTGGCCGCCTCCTTCTCTCTTTTCCCCCCCGCCTCCTCCCCCGCTAGCCGGGGCACCAGCGCAGGGAGTCCCACCGCACCCTGGCTCCGGCCGCGCCGCTGGTGCTTTTTTTTTTTTGCTTGGGGCGGCAAAAAGGCCAGAGCTGGCCCTGAATACACTTGCAAGCAATAACAGTCAAGGGGGTCATTGCAGTTGAAAGGTAGCACCACACACTGACCCCATAACAGGCAGTTGTTGTCTAATGAATGGAGCATGATGCTGGCAGGCAGGAAACCTGTGTTCCACTCATGACTGTCACTAAGGGTATGTCTACACTACGAGGGTAATTCGATTTTACTTAAATCGAATATGTGGAATCGATATTGCAAAGTCGAACGTGTGTGTCCACACTAAGGACACACGAAGGACAGTAATTCGACTTTGTGAGTCCACACTAACGGGCGAGCGTCGATATTGGAAGCGGTGCACTGTGGGCAGCTATCCCACAGTTCCCGCAGTCCCCGCTGCCCATCGGAATTCTGGGTCGAGCCGCCAATGCCTTCTGGGTAAAAAAAATTTGTCGTCATCCGTCCGTCACTAACGCCCTCCCTCCCTCCATGAAAGCGCCGGCGGGAAATCAGTTCGCGCACTTTTCTGGTCAGTGACAGCGCGGACGCCACAGCACTGCGATCATGGATCACGCTGAGACCATCGCTGCACTTGTGGCCGTTCTCAACACCTCGCAGCTTATCATACACCTTTCCCTGAGGCAGATGAAGAGTAATCAGGCGAGGAGGCTACGACACCGCCGTGATGGCCTGAAGTCGGAGAGTAGCACAGAGCTGTCAGAAACCACGAGCCCCAGCGCCCAGGACATCACGGTGGCAATGGGTCATGTGGATATCGTGGAACGGCGATTCTGGGCCCGGGAAACAAGCACGGACTGGTGGGACCGTATAGTGCTTCAGGTCTGGGATGAATCCCAGTGGCTGCGAAACTTTCGCATGCGGAAGGGGACTTTCCTCGAACTTTGTGAATTGCTGTCCCCTGCCCTGAAGCGCCAGAATACCAGGATGAGAGCAGCCCTCACAGTTGAGAAGCGAGTGGCCATAGCCCTCTGGAAGCTTGCAACGCCGGACAGCTACCGGTCGGTTGCGAACCACTTTGGTGTGGGCAAATCTACCGTGGGGGTTGTTGTCATGCAAGTAGCCAAGGCAATCGTCAAGGTACTGCTCCCAAAGGTAGTGACCCTGGGAAACGCGCAGGTCATCATAGATGGCTTTGCCGCGATGGGATTCCCAAACTGCGGTGGGGCTATAGATGGGACTCACATCCCTATCCTGGGACCGGACCACCAGGCCAGCCAGTACATCAACCGAAAGGGCTACTTTTCAATGGTGCTGCAAGCACTGGTGGACCATCGGGGACGGTTTACAAACATCTACGTCGGATGGCCGGGCAAGGTTCATGACGCTCGCGTGTTCAGGAACTCTGGTCTGTTTAGACGGCTGCAGGAAGGTATTTACTTCCCAGACCACAAAATAACTCTTGGGGATGTGGAGATGCCTACAGTCATCCTCGGGGACCCAGCCTACCCGCTAATGCCCTGGCTCATGAAGCCCTATACTGGCGCCCTGGACACAGAAAAAGAACTGTTCAACTACCGTCTCAGCAAGTGCAGAATGGTGGTGGAGTGTGCTTTTGGCCGTCTCAAAGGGAGATGGAGAAGCTTACTCACTCGCTGTGATCTCAGTGAAACCAATATCCCCATCGTTATTGCAGCTTGCTGTGTGCTCCACAACCTGTGTGAGAGCAAGGGGGAGACCTTTATGGCGGGGTGGGAGCTAGAGGCAAATAGCCTGGCTGCTGATTACGTCCAGCCAGACAGCCGGGCCATTAGAAGATCCCAGCGGGACGCCCTGTGCATCCGGGAGGCTTTGAAAGCTAGGTTCCTGAGTGAGCAGGGCAACCAGTGACTTTTCAGTTTGTGGACAGAAAAGCTGAACCTGCCCCTGTTTCTTTACCCAGTTCATTTGGACTATCCTCTCCAGTTACATACCCCCTTCACCCCCTTCCCCTTCCCAAAAAATAAAATCATTTCTATTTTGTTAATGAACACCGTTGTCTGTATTGCTGTTTTCACGGGAATGTTTTAAACCGGGGACGCAGACTGTGGCGGGGGGCGGGTTTAGTGTTCTGATGCAAATGATGCTTCTAAACTCCCGGAATGACAGGCTCCGCACTGGTGGACTGGTTATTTCAATGGAGCCTGCCAGCACTCCTGGGGGGGACTGTGTGTATGTGTCGGCTATGTGACTTTCTGGCAGGGGGGGTAGGGTTACATATCCCCTGCTGCGTGGATCTGTGAGCCAGGATAAGGACCGCTGCATAAGATCTGTAACTGCCCTCCCCCGCCAAAAAGTCACAGAGCAACCCCCCCGCCCCCGAACATGAAAAACACCTCCCAGACTGACCAGGGTAACCAGTGACTGCACTGTGTATGTGTCCTGATGCTGGACCTGACACCGCCTCTGTACCCTGCTAAAGGTCACTGTCCTGTCCAATTACCAAGCCCCTTCCCCCCCTCCAGACAGACTCTCCCTCAAAAGAACCTGACTGAAACAGTAATGGAGAGAAACAAACATTTTATTGCGAACCAGACATGAAACGTGGGGTGTGAAACTTGGACGGGGGCTTGTGTGAGGTGGGTAGGAAAGGGCTTATGAAATTTTGGGGAATGTCAGCCTTCTAGTGCTAGAGCAGTCTGCAGGGGTTGACTGAAAGTTTTAACGGCCCTTGCCGCCCCTCCTTCTTTGGACTTTGGGTGAGGGGGGTGTGGGACTTGGTGGCGGGTGAGGGCGGTTACAGATAGACTGCAGCGGGGCTCTGTCCTCCTGCCTCCGGTCTTGCAGAACATCCACAAGGCGCCGGAGCGTGTCCGTTTGCTCCCTCATTAGTCCAAGCAGCTTTTCAGTAGCCTGTTGGTCCTCCTGACGCCACCTCTCCTCCCGTTCCATGACTGCTCGGTGCATTTGTGACAAGTTCTCCCTCCACTGTGTCTGCTGGGCTGCCTGGGCTCGGGAGCAGTCCATTAGTTCTGAGAACATGTCTTCACGCGTCTTCTTCTTCCTCCGCCTAATCTGCGCTAGCCTCTGGGAGTGTGCTGAGAGGCTGGGTTGGGAGACAGTCGCAGATGTGTCTGTGTGAATTGTGAAAAGGGAGTGAATTCCTGAGACAGATAAATGAAATTGTATACAAAGAACCTAGTCTTTCTCTGTGAACAAGACCATGCACTGCACCTCTCACATGCGCACTCAGGACAAGGTCGAATTTTCGGCCGTCGCCTTCAGTGCCTGTGGACTTGCGGAGGTCTTGGAGTGTTCAGAGAACTGTGGCTGGAGACCTGAACTTCTGGAGCGGGCAATAATGGTAAGCCGCAGACTTGTGGCTGCTTAAAACTCCAGCAGTAGCACTGGCCTCCTTTCACATTGAAAGCAATGCCAGTCTCTGCTGCCAGCAATCAGGACAGCATGAACTCTGCCCCTGTCCCACCCCCTCGCGGCTGTCCCAGGGAAAGATCCCTGTATGCTGCCCCTCTCCCTCCACCGCGTGGCTGTCAAGCAGTCCCAATACTAACATTCCCCTCCCTAATTCAAAGCAGGGCGTCATGAGCGACATCACCCTCCTGAGGATCCCGGACACCCAGAGAGAACGCATGCTGCGGGAAAGCATGCAGAA